ATTTAGCTGGATTTGATTTTTGGTGTTGGGTTGATGCCTTAGCCGTGAGCTTCATATACATTTAGCTGGATTTGATTTTTTTTTTGTTTTGGTTTGATGCCTTAGCCATGAGCTTCATATTCATTTAGCTGGATTTGAGTCTTGGTGTTGGGTTGATGCCTTAGCCGTGAGCTTCATATACATTTAGTTGGATTTGATTTTTTTTGGATTTGGTTTGCTGCCTTAACCGTGAGCTTCATGTTTACTGTCTCTATAATTCTCTTCTCTTTTAACTCTTCCCCTCTTTTGACTCCTCCCCATGAGCTAGATTTGGATTTGAGACTTTGGTATGTTGCCTTTACTTCAAGTTTAGCTTAGTGATTTGCAGTTTGTTGCCTTACCCGTGGGTTCTCCCCTCCCTTATTGTCTTACCCGTGAGCTTTTAATTGAAGTTGAAGGGCTTTGATAATGGTATGATTTTTAGAGGTACAGAAGGATACTCCCTATGAATTGTTCTCCTATATTTTGTGAAATGTAGAAAGCTCTTGAAGTTTCATTTTGAGTTTGCTATAAATTGAAGTCATATTGGGTTTGGAAATCCATAAAAGCGCCACTTGGAAAGGATATCCTTCTCGGGATTGATCCGATCATTTTCCTTTTAACAAATTTAAATGTTTTAGACCGAAACATTCATGAGTTTTATTGATTTAATTTGGTTTTAAAAATAGATCGGTCTCATTTTCGTTTATTTTATTTTATTTTAGTTTTTTTTTAACGGTCAAGTTAAAAATGAGAATTTTCAATTTAATTATATTCAGAAATGATTTATAATCTCAAGGGAAATAGGAGGGAAAGAGAAGATGAGAGAATTGAAATTGAAATTTGAATCTTCGGGATGATAAAATCTAAAGAGAAGATGGGGTAGCGAACAATCCACCTTTTCTTTTACATAAGAAAAAAATGAATTGCAAATTGGAAGACTACTTGGAATCGGAAGAAATGAGAATTTAGATAACGATTGAGAGATTAGTGGACTTACACTTAGATCCCTTAAGCTTTGAATCAATTTAAAATCCAATTCCTTTAACTAGGATTGAAGCACAACTCACAACTCTTTTGCCAAAACTATGAGTTTACCCATAGGTTTTAGGAGCTTGATAGCGAGCTAAATTGGATCTATAGATGTTTGAGGGTTAGTGGAAAGACACTTAATTGAGATTAGACACTTTAGGACACTTCAAGTTTAAACTAAAGTGCAGGCATCCTAGATCTTAGGAGCACAACTTAAGAGATAGTTTATCATCCTAATTTTCAAATGACCCTAAGAAATTTAAACATCTAACCTCAGTTTAGGAGATAAATAGGACACTAGGCACGAGGGTGCGCTAGATTGTGACTCATGACTGATTTAATTAAATCAAATAATGAAATTCTTACCTTAACTTGACCAAAACTGAAACCCAATACTCCGGGATTTGAGTTTGTCCTACACTCAAATCTTCCTGGCAATTGGGGACATTCCAGTATCACATATAAATTTTATATCCTTGGTCCTTTATATGTGATGTTGTATTTTATTTTATTTGTTTGTCTTTTTTCTATGATTTACCTGTTTCTGTTAAGTCTTTTTCAGGTCATACTTTCCTCTTTTACACAACGCATAATAACTAAATTTAAAGGAGCAATGAATCTCTCAAGTGTACAGGTTTAATTTATATTACAACATTTTATTTTAAAAGCATGTTATATTGTTTTCATAGCCTGTTATACCGTTTCCCTAGCATGTTATACTACTCTTTACAGTACGTCATGTTCTTCTTTCAGTATATTATATTGTCTTTTCTATTTACTGTCCAATACATTGTTATTTTTCTTTCATACTACATGCTTAGTTATTTTGATATGCTATACCTTAGTTTAGAATAACCTTCTAACCTAGTGGTTAGGAGCATGTTTAAAACTAAAACTAAACCAGAAGGTGCTACTACGAGGAGTTCGGAGCGAACATCATGGGCAGCGCGGCGAGGATCAATTTCCAGGTGGATCTGCACCAACGAAACATCTTCACATCACATGAACACATTCACATCACCTATTATTATCTTTAGTTTAAATAACAATCTATAGGATCACTCTTTAGGTTTTTTGTACAACTTTGTTGTACAATTACAAGTCCTAACGCTTTAGGATTCTGAGGTTATCGTACGGTACGGTGTAAATCCTCCTGTCTTTTAGGCTATTTGCATAGTCTGACGTTGTGCAAACATAAGTCCTAAGTCTTAAATAATTTGCAGGATTGAAATATCAAATAATCATCACTTCAAAGACATAAAGCCAAACAATAGGATAGTTGGGAGGTCACTGGGGTTTTCCCTAGATCTGTGATATCCCCTACTTTTCTTTCATTTGAATTCCTAAAATAATTGTTC